CACTGCATTATGTACTCCTTGTTATAAAATCTCAAAGTGAGCGCCAGAAACTACCCTTAACAGCAAGCCCGAGAGTAATAAAACAGGCTAGTTTTGGTCCCAGTATGACCTTTATACCTGACCCTAGGTCAATGAAATTTGCTCACTCAACTGCTTGTGTTTCCTAAGAAAGTATTTTAGAGAGGTGTGGCTTCGTCTAGCACTCCGTTGTTGCATCAGGTTGAGCGATTCCCTGAAATTGATTTCGCTGAAATTATGGTCTGACGTTGTCTTACCCTAGGTCAGCAACCTTACAAAGCACATCTAAATTTTTGACACCAAGTGATCCGCTGTTAGATTGTCTACAATTATGCAAGGGACCACAGCCGACTTGTTCCATGGGACCACAGGGACCACAGCCGACATGTTCCATGGCTTTTTAAAGATCAGAGAAAGTCACTGACCTAAAATGACCCAGGTCAACACTTTATTTTAGGGACATACCGCCCGGCGTGGTCTCTGACACTTATTTAAACAGCAAAAAAGCAATGTCGTAGGTTTTTGGTCACCTTGATCCCTGACCCTTTGGTTAACAACACAGATCAACCATGGGCAAAATGAACCGCATTTCGGCAAAAAGTGTGGTATAGCGTGAGGGCTATTGGTCCACTTAATACAAGTGTTAATGCAGTTTTTTACAGCTCTCGAAACATGTCGTCAAAGCTGCAGGGTGTTTCATTTAACAAGTAAATTTTAAGAATGCTGTGATGCGCATGGACAATATTTATTGACACGTCTCTGGGTGACCGATTGGACATCCTTCGCTCGGGTGTGGTGGAGAGGGGGGGGGGGGGGGCGAGGCGTAAATTTACCCCTAAGATCTCAAAAATGAATACATTTTAGAGACACAGAAATGACAGTGTGGGTTAGCCTGCGCACGGAACCACCTGTATCAATATTTGAGGTTTTTAAGTCATCACCTTCGGGTCAAATAAGGCCAAACGAATAAGGCCTAAGTACTCCGGACCTCCTTATGCAACCGCCTTGAATCTAGATACCTGTTATAAGTAAAAAGTCAGTGGTGTTTATTTAAGGTCAATGACCCTATTTGAATTTTAGGGCGTCATGTTGACTAAAACCATAGGAGTTTCTTTTGATTTTGCATTTGGCGTCAAGCGTCAGGAATTGCGCTATTCGATATGTTTAAAAAACAGAATGTTGATCTGGGCGGTTTCAGTTCAATGAATTACTCTAACCTTTAAAATGACTGCGGAATAAGTTTGTTTCGGTCACTGGTATTAATGGATTGTAAATGAGCACCAGAAACCATTCACCAAAATCTCGAGTAAAATGCGGGTTAGTTTTGACCTCGGTCCGCCCTTCATACCTCTCCCGAGGTCAATGGAATCTGTTGTAGTCCTCAATTCACTTGTCTTTTTGGTTGAAAAACTATCTCATGGATGTATTGCTTCGTCTAACACTCCGTTGCCGTATCAGACACCAGTAATGCAGGCTAACGAGACACCAGTAACGTTTGATGACACGCAGGCAATCCTGTTCGTGGACAAGGCGGTATGTTTGTGTTCAGGTTTATTTATGTTTATGTTCAGGGGTAGCCCGACATCGTGACTTCCAGTCCCCATCGTCAGCTCGTCCCATACAGTTTTTACTAGCCTAGGACCGTTCCTCAGCCCCTTTGAGAATTGCTTCTCGGCACCGATATCCCGCGACAAGCAGAGAATGGCACACACTGGGGTTTACTGACAGCTGGGTTTCAGCCCAGCAGAACGGCATGGGAGTTGTGAAAAGACGAACCCATATCCTGATGAGATACGTGTCCGAGGCGATGACGCGTGTATCCGCAGGCGTCGCACACGTAGCAGCTGTCGCCATGCCAACAGCTTCTTTGGCGTGTTGTCTTCAGCAGGAGCAGATCTTGAAATGAGATCTGAGCTGGTGGTTTGAGCTTAAAGCGACCTCCTTAAAGCATCTGGTGCGATGAGCTATTTTGGTGAACGTGCTCTGCTGCATTTGTGTTGCGTTGAAACGTATGCTGCTCAAATGCAAATGAGTTTTGTGATTCCACAAAGTGCATCGGCTAAACACTCGATACTGCAGCAAACTGAGCCCTACAAAACGCCAAATACCCATTGCACGCACACGTCTTCATTGTCATTGGGGCTTTACAACGCACGTAGCTGCCGAGGCTGTATGGCGTGACCTTCCTAGCTCCCTGACAGGAAGGACGGGAACTGCAGGGAATTGAACCGCGTACCTCTGTTTCCCAGACGCGCAGCGGCTAGCGCAGACGCGTTGACCACAACGTTATCGGCACCCTCATTTTGGTGTGCGTAACCGACGTCCACGTTAACCGATATTTCAAACAGCAGTCAGAGGAAAATGGAACGGTACAACATGTTTGTTTTCAGCAACGCGGAACTATTTCAGGGGATTTTGGAGAAGTTCCGTCCAACGCTCAGTGCCACTGAAAATAGATCATTCACACATTAGTGCCACTTAGTAGACCGTTCACTCATTCTCCAGGCTGAAATATTGGGTGCAAAAGAATGTACCACTTTGGACCATGTTGAAGGGATGTCCAATGGGAATAATCATGTTCAAAATGTAAGCTGATGCGCGGATGTGCCGTGTTAATACGCACATTTGTGGTCAGGAAACTCATGATTGCCCACTTAGTCATGATATGAGGCTCAGACAGCGAAAGGGGTGGTCTTCATAAAGGATCGCGCGGTGCCAAATGCATTGGGCTCGACATTTTGTCGCCATTCGGAACGAACAATGAATTCACAGGAATAATGGAAAATTGTAAGGAGCCTTCGTAGTGTAGTCAACAGCATGATGGCGTTGGGATCCACAGGAGCGAATTGTTCGTGACTTTATTCTCGTGTGTTCATTAATATTGGGGGTGAAAAGTGATTTTCTGCATCTCCAGAGGAAATGTAGGGCGTGCTTTCTCAGACATTGGAGGAATTTTACCCTGACGACGATGACCGGGCGGCGAGAGAACGTCACATCTTGCTAGGCTGCCCTTGGACCCACTTCAGCAAATCATTAGGTAAACATCGGTCGAGAGGCAGAACGCCGGTCTAGCCATAAGGCCAAGCGTGGCGTTCGTTCAAACGTGAGTACGGGCACAGCATGTGCCTGCCGTTCGAGGCACCAGGGGGCGAAACACCCGCGGCAAAACATGAACAGTCCAGGCAGCTTCTATTTAATTCAGCCAAATCGCGACTGCCATAGATCCGTCTCACTGAACATGCTTCGCCTCGCGCCTCGAATTTGGTGCAACGCAGGCGTATATGTGTGGCTGTGGGAGCGGGTGCTGCGAACTGAGAAATATCGTGAGCGTTCATGCGTGCTGGCGCACGTCTATATGTGAAAAGGTGTGTGTGCGTGCGTTGGTGTACGTATATGGTGCCCGCCCTAGCTGCCATGGCGAAAGGCAGGCGGCGCTACACGGTCTCAGCAGCTGGGTGCGTCGCAAAACCCAATGACGACTTGATGGCGTGCGCACATGCGTGTACGGTGTGTGCACAAGGGATAGGAGTTCGCGCGCCTGCTCGCCTGGGTGCGCGGTTTGCATCAGGAGCTTACGTCAACAGCATGACACCACACTTCGGCCGGACGGCCGCTAATGTCGTGCCCTTGGTCTGACCTTGGGCTTAAGCGATACGGAGGCTGCGTCCGACGACGGCCGTGGCGGGCAGAAGTCCACCCGTGCCGCGCGTGAGAGGGGCGCCCGCTCCAGAGACGGTGCCATGATCGGGTGGGTGAGCTCGGCGGTGTTGTCAGTGCTCTCCTGGCTCTTCTCGCCGCTGCCGCTAGCGGTGCTGGCCGTCTTATTCGTCTGCGTGTACTTCTACGTCACCAGGCACTATGACTTCTGGAGATCCAGGGGAGTGTCGGGCCCGACCGCCAAGTTTCCCTGGGGCACGGGCTTCGGACCGCCGCTCTTGGTAAATCTGGTCAAATTTGAGGAATGGCTTTACCACGAGCAAGGTGGTAAGAACTTCTGCGGTTACTTTGAGCTGAGCATGCCGGTGCTGTATGTCGGGAATTTGGACCTGATTCAGAGGATTACAATAAAAGATTTTGAGTTCTTCACGGACCGGCGCGTGCTGGTGCTGACGGAAGAGTTCAGCGAAATGTTGCAAGTGCTGAACGGCAAAAGGTGGAAGGAGACCAGGTCTGTGATGTCACCAACTTTCTCCGCCAGCAAGCTCAAGATCATGCATCAGCTGTGCGTGGAAAATGCTTCAAATCTTAACACACACGTGCGGGACGAGATGAAGATGAGTGGTGAGATCAACATCAAGGATTGCTTCGGTCGGTTTACCATGGATAACATCGCTTCCTGCGCGTTCGGTGTGAACTGCAATTCGTTTAAGGACCCCAACACTGAATTCGCCAAGAACGCGCAAGAGCTTTTCAAACCTCCTCGCGGATATGCTGGTTTCCGGCTCATGCTTATTCTCCTCTTCGGTGTGGGGTCCGTGCGCATGTTACCAGATCCCACTGAGCGCGTCAACGCATTCTTCAAGCGGGTCGTCAAAGACACCTTACGGCATCGCGAGGCTGGAAATTCGCGCAAAGACTTCCTCCAACTGCTTCTGGAGACCAAGAACAAAGACGGCAAGCGTATCCTTAGCGACAGCAGCATCATCAGCCAGTCGGTGTTGTTCTTCATCGTCGGCTACGACACTACAGCCACGCTGCTGACGTTCGCCGCCTACTGCCTGGCGACGTCGCCGGATGTCCAGAACGCCGCCCACCGCGAGATCGACGACGTCCTGCAGCGCCACGACGGCCAGCTGACCTACGACGCCGTGGCAGAGATGACCTATCTGGACCGGGTGCTGTCCGAGACGTTGCGGATCTACCCACCGGCCCCCCGCATGGAGCGCCAGTGCAGCAAGGACTACACATTGCCTGGCACAACCGTGCACATCCCGCGCGGTACGACGGTCCAGATCCCGATTATGAACGTCCACCGCGATCCTGACCACTACCCGGACCCGCTGCGCTTCGACCCGGACCGCTTCCTGCCCGAGGAGAAGGCGAAGCGCCACCCTTGCGCCTACATGCCCTTCGGCAGCGGTCCGCGCAACTGCATCGCCATGCGGTTCGCGCTGTTCGAGGCGAAGGTGGCCCTCATTGCCGTGCTGCGGGAGAACCGGCTGGAGCCGAGCAAGCGGACGCCGCCGCCGCCCATGCCGCTCCGTGAGGACACGTTTCTGCTGACTCCCCAGGAAGGCATGGGCTTCCTGCGTGCGGTGCCTCGTGAGGTGAAGTAGGCGCCCGCTGTCTTTAGTCGGGGTCGAGTTTTGACGTGCGATTGAGGTACTGAAGTGCAATTTTCGGCAATGGGTGGAATGGTGTACCACATGGAGTGCTTCTTCTTCACAGGTATTTTTTTAAGTAACCTACAGGACGATCAGAACAAAATTAAGGCGCCAGTACTCTTCGAAGCGAAACAGTTTGGTCCGGCAATGGCTCCTTGATGTCGTTGATCCTCGGAAAAATGGCAAGATGAACATTTCTGATTGGGATGGTGCTTTGGACGATACATAATGAAGGCCGATGTAATAATAAAGGGCGTGTCCAACATCCGTGGGTTCTGCAGTGTCCACGGGATGAAAACGATAACGCAGATAGCTGCAATCTGCCAGACAGTGAGTGGCAGTGGACGAAGACACAGCGTGGCACTAAGGACCTGATAATAACTCGAGAGCCTGATCTGGCCATCACGGTAGATCACAGCATGGGCGTAGGAACAGGGGGGCCATGGCCCCTCGCTTTTCAAGGTGGGGGGGGGGGGGCAGCAATGTCGACTGCCCCCCCCCCCTTTCAGATTAAGGTTGCATTCGGCCTACTTTTGCACTGCATTAAACACGCATGCCGATTTACCTAGTTCACCAGCCATCTGCCTTAAGATGCGTCATCTTTTTCGTTTGCTCATTGGCCATCACTTAGTGTTACAGCTGCAAGGCCGACGCCGCACGGCCCGGAGACTGCAACGCCGGGCGTCGAGGCTGTTATTGCTATGACTTGCGAGCACGCATGTTCATAACCATATCACGTAGTTTTCTTATCAGTAATCAGCTCTGACAGGATCTTTAGCATTATAAGACGAACATGGGCTAGCCATGTTAATACAAATTATGAACCTCATTTCATCTGCAATCTACAGTCAGGGAGAACACAATATCACTGAAGAACGCAGCAAAACATGGAGCTGGAGTCTATGTGAAAATAATCGAACCGCCTGCAGTGATCAGGGATGTTGTTGCATCAATGAAGGTCCCTTTGCTGATCCGGGGCTAACTGCACGGATCAAAAGGCTTCCCGTGTCAGGGATGGGAACAATGTGATATGATATACCCTGCTAACGCCCTCCGGATCGACCAGGAGATCCCGCCCCGTGCCACCAGAATAATAGCCAGAAGACACTTTGCGATGGGACGGAATGGCCCTTCGGCCCTTGACTGGGAACGGTAATGTACCCCTGGTGCTCTTCTCAAGAGGTCCCATGCCCGGAAGGAAATAAGGGGTCTCATTATTGTTGAGTAGGGTGGGACTCTCATTTTTGTTGAAAAGGACTGGTCAAAATGAATTTAAAAAAAACAGCGAGGTCATGCCATGTTTGCCTGAGAACGTTCATTTCTTTCAGAATGTATTATTGGAACAAATTACATGAAAAAGCTTGACACACGCCCGCCCGCAACTTCGAGAGCAAGGACAAGGATGGTCTGGGTTGCAATTTCCGTAAAACCGACAAGTCTCGGCCACTGCAAGTGCCACCAGACGACGGGCGCGGTGTTAATCTATCTTCTGGACAGATAAATAGCTGCAGAAACACGAAAAATAGAGATTTTACCTTCACTCTTCCAGTTCAACCACTATGTTCCAGCCCCACTTCGCGGTGCTTTAGGGGCCAATCCGTTCTTTTCATCAATCTGAAAATTGCACGCGTGAAATATGCCCTCAGACAGCCTTTTAAATACAGGATCTGATGCCATGAAGCGTCCAAGGGTACTTTCTTAGAAGTGTCATCATTTTCGTCCACCCGCTGGCCACAACTTAATGGTAACTGGTAGGCTGACGCTGCGCGGCCTACGGAGACTGCAACGCCTGGGGTCGAGGCTGGTGTTTTTAAAAGTTTCGAGTGCGCATGCTCAAAATTACGCCAAATAACTTGTACAACTAGTTGATTCAAGTGTTTAAAGGTAATCATTTCAGAAACGTCATCATTTTCGCCCACCGGTGGGCCACGGTTAAATGTTAGCTACTAGGCTAACGCTCCGCGACTACGGAGACTGCAACGCCTGGGGGCGAGGTTTTAGGTGCCAAGATTTGCGAGCGAGCATGTTAAAAAACATGTTACATGAATTGTATTACTAATCAATTCTGACTGAATGGTGAACATTTACAAACATGGCTTGGCCATGTTAATACACGTCGTTGACCACTTGATTTGCAATCAAATTTTCGTCTTTAAATTTGGATAAAACATATCGATCTACAATCTAACTTCGCAATGTTCTCAATGTCTGTAGAACCCAGATAAAAAGTTGGCAAAGCTTCTTAATTCTATCGGTTTAAAAAGGGTAAGCTAACTATTGTAAATTAAGAGCGCCGGTGATTTCTTCCACGCAGGTCGTTCATCGCCTGATTTCTGCAGCTTATTGACCTCAAAATGCAAACAGAATTGAGCTCACGGTAGCTCCTGGTTTCTGTTCTGGTTACAAGGTAAAAATAACAATAAAACAAAGAAAACCGTGTCACTTGTTAACAAGTAAACCATATCCGGTTTTTTTTTTGGGGGGGGGGGCACCATAAGACGGACTTTTGTCAACCCTGTGTTCCCTCTTGGCAATGCTCTGGCTACGCCCCTGCCTACACACAAAAGCAGATCAAGTCGCGTACGTTGCATGATGGACAAGGAAGTGTTCTTTGGGCCAATCCATACCTAAGGCAGACAGCTTCCCGGAGGCCATTTTTCTGCGATGGTGTGGTATAAGGGAAGATAATTCAGGAAAAATACTTTTGCAGGTGTCCAAAACATGTTTCATACACCATGTAGAAGTAACGCTGATCCAAAAGTATGCAACAAAGTAGCCCCACGATCAGCTCGCAGTCAGTCATGCAGGAGACATCCAGGCCAGAGCAGTGACCACATACTGCGGTCAGGAGCAGGGCCCAGATAAAGAACATATGACAGATGGGCCTTATTATGTCGCTTGATTCTTAAAAGAGAATCTCCAGTTTTATGGATTTTGTCACATTGTTTCTAGCAGTTTCAAGGTCCCGAATTTGTTTCCGCCTAAAATGTTGCGACAAGTCTTATTTCTTGAAAAGCAGGCGGCGAAATGAAGGCGCATGAAAAACCTGGCGCACTGTGAGCCATCGACTCACTTTCAAAATTCTCACTAACCTTTATCCATGCCGTATTTTGGCATCTACACTGTGGAGGGAAATGCTTCCTTGATGACCCAAAATACCTACCCGCTCGTGGAATTTCGTCTCCCCAGGAAAGGCAATGTTAAAATGGACGAATAATGTAGGGACGCTGGATAGTGATAAACAGCTCTAGATGCATAGCTAGCATAGCAGCCATGACATTGGAATAAAGGGCGATAACAATATCCATCCCTAACCTCCTTTCCCCCCCCCCCCTCCGGTCATCGGGCTCGCTTTCCAGAAAAAGTTCCTAAAGTACACCCTGAGCTTGGCGCCCCCCCCCCCACTTTTTCAAACGTTCCTACGCCTATGGATCGCAGCACTGCAATTTAGCTGTGGTGCTGACCAGCGTCTCTTGATGACAGTGGTTTGAGCGCCAGTGGCCCAACATCAGCCGTTAATTGGCTGGGTGGCTGGGGAGCTGGACAGCCGTTAGTTGGCTAGGTGCTGGGGGGAGCTGGACGGCCATTAGTCGGCTGTGTGCTGGGGGAGCTGGACAGCCGTCAGTTGGCTGGGTACTGGGGGGAGCTGGACAGGCGTTAGCTGGCCGGGTACTGGGGGGAGGGGGAGCTGGACAGCCGTTAGTTGTCCGCGCACCGGGGGGAGCTGGATAGCCGTCAGCTGGCTGGGCACTGGGGGAGCTGGACAGCCGTTAGTTGGCTAGGTGCTGGGGGGAGCTGGACAGCCATTAGTCGGCTGTGTGCTGGGGGAGCTGGACAGCCGTCAGTTGGCTGGGTACTGGGGGGAGCTGGACAGCCGTTAGTTGGCTGGGCACTGGGGGAGCTGGACAGCCGTTAGTTGGCTGGGCACTGGGGGAGCTGGACAGCCGTTAGTTGGCTGGGCACTGGGGGAGCTGGACAGCCGTTAGTTGGCTGGGCACTGGGGGAGCTGGACAGCCATTAGTCGGCTGTGTGCTGGGGGAGCTGGACAGCCGTCAGTTGGCTGGGTACTGGGGGGAGCTGGACAGCCGTTAGTTGGCTGGGCACTGGGGGAGCTGGACAGCCGTTAGTTGTCCGCGCACCGGGGGGAGCTGGATAGCCGTCAGTTGCCTGGGCACTGGGGGAGCTGGACAGCCGTTAGTTGGCTGAGTTGGCTGGCTGGCTGGCGGGGGGAGGCCCTCCGGTCCCCACAGGATCCCCAGCCATGCCTGACAGCCTGTTATAAAATGCGGGAGGGCACCGCCGCGGTGAGGCAGAACTACGGCAGTGTTTTAAAACAAATATGTGTGCCCGTATGGTTTTGGGGCCAAGCGCGTTCGATAGCCCTGACTCGATGTTCATCTTACGTTCGATAGCCATCGAGAAGATCCAGCGGCGCACATGTGCTTGAGATGACCCCCGGCAGCGCTGTACAGAATACGGCTGCATTTTATACTGCTTGTTTGGCATAGTCACTGAAGGGTGATTGAATGCGGGAGCCCGCCCGCCGAGTGGAGATAAAATATGAGAATTTTGAAGATATAGGTGCGACAGTAGTAAAAGCCTTATCCCCCGTCGAAAACCGGAAGAATAGAGCGACAGAAGCGTTGATGTTTCAGCACCATACCTTTATCGATCAAAACGAAGCCCTCAAATCCGCGCCTTTCGTTTTGATAAAGGCATGTTGCCAAAGCATCAACGCATCTTTATGTGTAGTCTCCTGTTCTTTCTATGAGTAATACGGTTATTACTACTGTCTTGTTTGTATCCATAACCCACCTCGCAAATGCACTTAACAACTTACACAATTTTGAAAATCTCTATTTCTGCTCGCGGAGAGGAAGGCCTTGCGCGCTTGACAAGCAGCCGCTCAGGCCTGTCAAACGACAGCGCAAACGTTGAGGTTGGTCATCGGCGCCCATTGTTTGATATGAATGCATGCCGGCGCGCTACGGGAGACTGCTGAGCACATGGATGCGGAAATACTAGAACGCTTCGAAATCGTTTCAAAATGGCGCACTGACAGTGGAAATTGTGCGCTTACTTACATGGGATGAAGGATGTCAACACCAAAATATCACGTTCGGTGGGGAGTCTATTTTTTAAAGATGACGCTATTTGAATGTATCAGTAATGCGGGTTGACACTCGGCTGTCGAAAGACGAAAATATAATGACGTTTCGAAAATATTTGTATCATGCGCTGAGGTCGGGACCGTGTGAATTTGATATCACCGACTTAAATATATCGAACGACACCGAAACATGGTGCTCGTGGGGCGGTGCGTATTTGTTTATATCGGGTAGAGACAAAATGTCTGGAGTATACATGCAGATGACGGAGGCTAACACCACGCAGCGCGTGAGTTCGTTCCTTTCGATAGCAATCACCCTGGAGTTAGTTGAGTTGGCCCAGATTCA